ATTTCTCAAAACAATTTGTAGAAACAGCAAAAATAGCATTTGTTTGCTTGCAAAATCCTTAGTTCAGCTCTCAAAATTCTGTCAGTGAACATATCAGTGACTCAAAATAATAAATTATAGTTTCTCTATGTACAGATAAGACAGTCAAATTGATTAGTCATGGGAAGAGGCTACAAAATTTACATTACGCTTTTGCTCTAATTTATTGACAGACCATGCCATGGTGATTCAGAAAAAGACAGAAATGCAGAGAACAAAAAAAAAGTAGAAAAGGAGCAACAGGACAACTTCCTCATGGAAAACTGTACAGTGCTGTAGAAATTACATTACATTTTAATTTCCATCGTCATGCTGACAAGGAATGAACAGTAGGGTGGGAGGACCTCCGTCAGCATCCTGTTGTGGGTCGCAAACCATATCCTGATGTTGGACTGATGGAAACTGGCAGATGTCCTCAGCCTCTTCTGACTCTTCTTCTGCTTTCCTCCCAACTATTTCATCCTCAGCCTCACTCCTCTTCTTCTCTCTGGCTGTTCACTCTGTCCAGATACTTGTTCATCAGTTCTCAGAAATGTAACATTGTGTTGTGTTCTGGCTATATAGACCATATTGTTGCCAACTGATGGTTCACAAGATGCACCTTCAATCGGTTTCAGAAAACTGGTTGATCGTTGGTTGAGCTAATGGTTCATACACTGACCTGTTAGAGAAACTCAGGACTCACTTGGGAGTAATTTACCAATTCAGGACAGATTTAGAAAAAAATGGAATATAAACTAATTAAAATATGACTGACATTATGACAACTTCAAGACTTATGCATGTTAAGAGTTATACAATGAACTTATGCTGTTTTGGAAGTTGAGACAATTCAACAGACACCTTTACCACATTTTGATCAACACGATTAAAGCAAATTACAATGGGGTAAAAGCAGAGAAGTGCACATAATCAGTTACATGATGTACAAAAACATTTGCAACTTGCTCAAAGGAATGAGAAACTCATTTTTTGATGTGCAGAAGTGACACAGTAATTTGAAGATTGAACAGGTAGTTTTAAGAATTTAAATTCTGTTCTGAGAAATGCACCAAAACTGAGAAAAACTGTAAAATATTAATATTTAAATTTCCTTATCTTAAAACCCTTCAGCTGTCATGGACTTTAATGCAAGTATTTTGGGGGTGAGAGTCAAGAGGTCAAAGGAAAATATTAAATATTAGCTCTGATGCCAAGCTTTATGCTTCCAGTATTACCAAAGTATTGAAACAAAAGCTAACGTGTTCTTCACAGATTTAACTTGCATTCATGAACATTTCACACTCAAAGTAATTCAAATTAATTACTGAACCAAACTTGAAAAAGTTGCTTCTGCCATTAACAATAACTTTAAGCACATGCAGTTTAAAGTAGACCAGAAATATAAATAGATCTATGCAGTCGTTCCTACAGAAACATTAATGGAAGTGTTGCGTCTGGGAAAATTAAATATTCCATACAGCAAAAATGTCTAGCTGCAGTGCATGTATATAAACAGCAGGGCTCAGAAATTACACATTTCTTTATCAGTTGGTTAAAGTTAGCTAACTTCAGTTAAAACCGTGAAAGGGGCTCACATGTGATGCAGAGATGTGTTGTCCTTCTCCTCCTGAACGCGCAAAAATAGCAGAAACTTGATTTCAAAGACAGGAGCTGCATCCTGATAAGGACCAGGCCTACTGG